CACACCAGGGGAATAAGAGTATCCTTTGAAATCCGATAACAGTCCTACTAGCTCTAAATGAACGCAGTTGAAGTGAGAGCAAGAAGCTGAGAAAGTAATTAAGCCACATTCGTCATTATTAAGCACGTGAGATTCCTGGAAGCTTACGCAGGACTGCGTCCTGTCACTCAAATCTTTGTTCATAGCAAGCTGACGAAATCGTCCTTCTATCAGCCTGATGGTTGCTCAAACAACTAGATGAGAAAGCTTGTGAAACATACTGAAGACATCGTATCTCGACAAGATTGGACGACCCCTATTTTTTATACAGTCATAAAGTAAAGTTTCCCTACCTGTTTCCATCTATTTGATACGCAGTTTCAGGGTTTTCGATGATAACATTTGCTAACGATTGGTGTCTTAATATGAAGCTTAGCAGTAAAACGCCACGACAACGCTTCGCTTATATCAATACACACCGACAATTATGGTCACACGTTTGACTGGAACAATGTGGAAATACTGGATAGGGGGAGGACAAAGAACACTAGGGAATTTTTAGAAGCTTGGCACTCAGGTCAATCAGCAATCAACAAACACATCGACATTGACCCAATTTATAAACCAATCAGGAAAATCATAGGTCACATAGGATCAAGAAACAGATCAAAAGGGGGATGCAATAAAAACAAAGGTGCAAACAACGACAGGTTTAAGGTCAACAGCAACCAATCAAGATCGAGGTTAACAGAACAAGCTACAGGTCAAACGTGGAGAAATTCGAATGCTTTACTTCTTCTATCTGAAGTTTGTGCTGATGATGTTGTTCAGAAGAACAATGAAAGCTCCACAACCAAAACATCCAGCTCAGAGAACCAAACACCGCCACCACCACAATCATCCAGCTTAGCAAGTCTAGAAAGTTCAAATCGCTGGAAGCTGTTCAAATAAGTTAAACGAAACAAGGCGTCAGCATTTACAGTGCGCCGGAACTGTTGTAAGTCTGAAATAAACTACCGATATAATTCAGTTGCCTGGATTATCTAGGAGAGTACTTGTCTGAAGATGAGACAAATGAAAAAGTAAGGGTTTATTGTTCGATCATAAGCGTGAATTCTCGGACTTCAACAGATTGTTTTGTTTCGCACAACAAAATATATACCTTGGAATCCCCTGTAAAGTGTACTGTACCTCATTCTGGTGTCACCAATTTTATGGGGCTGGAGGTGGGGGCGAATGCAGTTTGACCACTGGAATCTGGTTTGTTAACTCCCACAGTTCATTGTTGCTGATGGTGTCTGGCCAATGAATACGAAATATTTTGCGTAGAGAACTGTTCATAAACACTTATATCTTCTGGATGATGGCTTTGGTAGTTCTCCAAGTTTCCGCTCCATACAGTATTGAAAATCCTGATTTTGGTTTTGGTTGAGAGTTGTTTGGAGTTCCAGATATTTTTCAACTGTAGAAATGCAGCCCTCGCTTTGCCAATCCGCACCCTCACATCCACTTTTCTCGTCGATGATGTTGCCACGATTTGTAAAGGTGTTAACGTCCTCCAAGGTATCTCCATCAAGAGTGATTTGGTTGGTGCATGTTGTGTTGCATCGGAGAATTTCGCTTTTACCTTTATATATGTTGAGACCTACTGCTGCAGAGGCTGCTGCTACATTGGTCGTCTTCTCTTGCATTTGTTGTTGCGTGTGCGATAGAAGAGCCAGGTCATCTGCGAAGTCCAGATCGTCCAGCTGCGTCCTAACTGTTCAGTTGATACCGTGCTTCCCTCCAGATGTCGACGTCTTCATAATCCAGTCGATGACCAGGAGAAAGAGAAAGGGTGAGAGTAAGCAACCTTGCCTCACACCGATCTTCACCTCGAAACAGTCTGTTAGCTGTCCTCCGTGCACGATTTTGCAGTTGCATCCATCATAGGAATTCCGTATGGTGTTAACTATTTTCTCACGCACACCGTAGTGTCGGAGAAGCCTCCACAGTGTTTTCCTCTCCACACTATCGAATGCTTTCTCGTAGTCAATGAAGTTGATGTAGAGTGGTGAGTTCCATTCAACTGATTGTTCCAGAATGATCCGTAATGTAGCAATTTGGTCAGTACAAGATCGATCCTTACGAAATCCGGTCTGTTGATCTCGAAATTTAGCGTCTACGCAGTCCTTCATTCTGTTTAACAATACTCTGTTGAAGACTTTGCCAGGTATTGAAAGAAGAGTGATGCCTCCATAGTTCTCACACTTGCTGAGATCGCCTTTCTTTGATATTTTGATGAGGTATCCTTCTTTCCAATATGATGGTACTTGTTCCTCATCCCAAATCTTCTTGAAGAGCATGTGAAATATTTCCGCAGTTGCTTCCACGTCAGCTTTCATTGCCTCGGTTGGAATGTTGCCTGGTCATTCTGCTTTGCCGCTCTTGATTTGTCTGATGGCCATACTGATCTCCTCAATCGTAGGTGCGCCAATATTAATTGGGTGGTCCGTGGATGCTGCTTCGATGTTGGGTGGGTTCAGTGGAGCTGGTCGATTCAATAGTTCCTTAAAGTGCTCTACCTACCTATTTCGCTGTTGTTCAGTGTTGCTGATTACTTTGCCTTCCTTACTTTTCATTGGTCGTTCTGCTTAACGATAGTTTCCGGTGAGATTCTTTGTTGTTTCGTACAATTGTCTCATGTTTCCGTCTCTTGAAGCCTTATCCGCCGTCATTGCTAGATCTTCCATATATTTTCGTTTGTCAGCTCTGATGCAAGGGTATCAACAGATATCCATTCTTTGTGATGGTACTTATTGTGTCCCAAAACTTCGTGACATGTTGAAGTGATTGCCTCCTTGATCTCATTACAATTGTTCTCCAATGTTGCTTCCTCTCCATTGAGTAGATCCTGAAAGGCCTGGAACCTATTGGTTAGGGCTATCCTGAATTCGTTGAGCTTTACATTATCCCGAAGAAAAGCCGTATTAAACTTCTGTGATACTGTCTGTCCCGTTGTCCAGTGCTTCTTTATTTTCAGTTTCATTTTAGCGATCAGCAAATGTTGATCTGAGGCTATACCAGCTCCTCTCTTGGTTCTCACATCCTCCATAGTCCTTCTGAACGTTTTGTTGATACAGATATGGTCAATTTGGTTTTGAGTAGTGTGGTCCGGTGAAATCCATGTGGCTTTGTGTATGCGTTTGTGAGGGATTATTGTGCCACCGATGACCAGTTTTTTTGAAGACACATAAGTTTGCAAATCTCTCACCGTTTTCGTTCCTTTCTCCCAGCCCATGTCGTCCCATGATATCATCATATCCTGTGTTGTTCATGCCAACCTTGGCATTCAGGTCTCCCATAAGAATCGTCAAATCCTTTGGTGAACATTTCTCGACGATTGACTGCAGCCTTTCGTAGAATTGATCTTTAACGTCATCATTGTAGTCATTGGTAGGTGCATAACATTGGATGACGTTCATTGTAATGTCCTGTTTCTTTGTTTTGAAGGATGCTTTGATGACACTCGGTCCATGAGATTCCCATCGTATCACTGCTTTTTGTGCTTGGTTGGACAGCATTAGTGCAACTCCTTGTGTATGTGAAGCATTTTCCTCTTCATGACCAGAGTATAACAGCAGTTTCCCTGAAGCTATTCTCAGTTGTCCTACCTGTGTCCAATGCGTTTCACTGAAGCCGGGCACCTCGAGGTTGTATCTTTTCATTTCTGCCGCAACTTGAAATAGTCTTCCAGTCTCCCACGATGTACGAACGTTCCATGTACCTAAAAGAATGGTTGCTGTGGTTGTCAGAAGAGGCATCGACCCCGTGACTTCTGAGGGAACTCGGTTTTCATCACGCGACGTCATAATTGTTTTTCCAACTCCCAGGCAGAGTTAAAATGTTTTGAATTATTTGTTCTGGTCAGCGTTTTTTTGGCAAGTTAGTTTTTGACGGAATGGTGTCGCCAACGCCATATCCAACCCTCCTACTTTACCCGGGCTTGGGACCGGCAGTAGCCCCGAAGGTTCTACTGGCGGAGTTAGTAGGTCTCGTTACCTGTGGTTAAACTGGAGAATAGTTTGGACTTCAACTGAATTTCTCCGATGATTGTTTCCGGTGTCTACGAAGTTTTTTGTAGCTTAAGTAGGTGGCATAAATGACAGGTCTTAACTGAGCGATAACAGCAGAAGGCAAAATCAGTGTGATGCTCCGCTCTAGTTTAGAGTCACATCCTATAAAACTTCTGGAATGTTGAAGTGTTTTGTTCTCACTGCAATGACACAAAATAACTCTTATTTTTACAACTCACCACACGTTGACGCCATTCACATGGACATTGGCTGATGATACGAGAATTTATGGGAGACTGATAAATATAAAGAACAACAGTAAATCTAATATGGCTCCGGTTATTAAAACTTAATTTTGAATATCCGTACTAGCTTTGGTCTGTAGTAAGTAACCAACCGAAAGTAATTCGGGAATATTTCAGAAAAGGCTCATTCAAGGCCTAAAACTCCAAAGTGTTTTTTTACCACTTTGAAAGAAAATACTATCAACAAGGAATGTAAGTGTAGAGGTTTGCTTCTAGCGAAGGGTACCTTGTCTACAAATGGGGCGTGCACGGTAACGTGCAAGGAAAGAACTGGAGAATAGAAAAACAAAAGAAGAAGCAAGCTTCGATCAAGAAGAGTACGAAACACCTTTACATCTAATAAGAATAGTAATTAACAACAACCAGGGATCACGAAAACCTTAGATTCAGATAATATAGGTGGAGAAACTAAGAGAGTATTGAGTGAGGAATTTAAACCGTAGCAGTGACTTTAGCTTCAGCCTTTGGTAAGGTCACGTTTAGCTGAAAGGCAACTACTGTGCTGGAGGAGTGTGAGGAGCATCATGTGAATTTACACGAATGCGAAAAGAACAGGAGTAAAGGTGAGCCGACTCAGATACCTCATAGAATGCACTGATATTTAACGAACGAAGCAGCTGAAAACAATCAGAAATAACACAAACATGATTTAAAAGCAAAATGATAATCGGAACTACAAAATTGTTTTGAATGTGTTACAAACACTTATTTGAAAACCGCGCTGAACCACTTAAACGTACGTAAGATAGTTTATTTTAAAGTAGTGAGTTAATTCACTCAAGTGTAAGAAATTACTCAGTCAATCTTTTGACAAGTTGTCTGTCAAGATTGCTGGCCTGAATATTTCTTTCACTGTGTTGAATGTCATAGCTGTGAGTCGGTGTGCCGTGGCCATCTCTTTGATTTCCACTGTTGCGTCATTTTTTCTCGACACAATGAAAGTTACATTCAAAACATTGAAGCAACAGACATTTGTTCTTGACCTCCAAGAAGATGATCTGGTAAGCTATAATTTACGGTAATTTTATGCACAGGTTGGGGACGTTAAAAAGAAGATCGAAGCAGAAAGAGGCAGTGAATTCGATGCAAATACTCAGAAACTAATACACTCAGGTAAATTGTCGGTACTAGCCTGACTCCTTACTTAGGCAAGGTGATGGAAGATAATAAATCATTAAAAGACTACAAAGTGACAGACACAGGTTTTGTTGTAGTAATGTCTGTCTCAAAGCCACCCAAAGATCCAGCCAAAGAGGCAAGTGCTTCATCTCAAACCAACCCCGCTGGTGAAGCTAAGACAACACCAGAAAAAAAGAGTCCTTTAACAGAGGGCAATGAAGCACCAAGTAGTAAACCAGACACAAATTCCCCATCTAGCCTACCTACCGTTACAACAGCCCCATCTAGCGCAACCAATACTTTGGGTTTTGGAGAGAATTCTCTAGTTACTGGAGAGAATTTTGAGCGGGTTGTACAAGAACTAATATCCATGGGTTTCGAGAGATCACTGGTCAGTCTATTATGAAATAATAATCGTAAATATAGGTAATTCGTGCAATGCGAGCAGGCTTCAACAACCCGGATAGAGCGTTCGAATATCTTTCATCTGGAAACATTCCAAACGTTGATATTGTTGAGCAGCCACCACAAAGGGAAGAAAGCGAAAGTGTATCTCCAGAAAGAACTGGAGATACTGATACCCCAGGTTCCGAATCAGTTGGCTCTGAAGACCCGATCGCAGCGCTCGCAAGTTTACCACAGTTTCAACAAATGAGAGCTCTAGTACAAGCAAACCCAGAGTTGTTACCTCAGCTCATCCAACAAATAGGTAACGATAACGCAGATCTGTTCAGGGTACGTATTCCTCTTGCACTTTCCCACAAATTTTTCAAGACTTATATTAATTACACAATAATTTGGTAACTGCAGACTAATTTCCAAAGAAAAACGTAATTAGGGTTATTTATCAGTTCTCAGGGATTGACACTGTATACAGATCTTTAACAAGTTCGCTTTCTTAAGCCACGCGTATGTGTTGTAGTTAGAGTTGATCAGGTTCACTTTAGAGCTTAATCATGTAACGAATGCCCAGCCATGCTACAACCTGCATAATTAAGTATACTAGATATTCGAACCAGTATTAGTAGACTTAGAGTACCTGAGATTCTACACTTTCAGTTATTTAATGTTTGTATTACATTTAAACTAACCTGCATACTCACCTGTAGAAGCATATTCTTACGTCCCAATGGTTCTTATGAGCTTTCAATTTGTGTAGCACGCGTGTTCCATCAAAATAAATACTCTCAACTATGTCAAACATCCACTGTTGAAGCAATGTGATTGTGAGGTGGTGACGAAAATTTGTAGCTCGGGTGGATGATTGATTGTTTGAACGATTAAATATCTTATAGTTGTAATGCGTATGCCCTTAATAATAATATAATTATAATTACAAAATAGTTAACTGTTATTTAGCTCATTCAAGAAAATGAACAAGCATTTCTGGAATTTATTAATACCCCAGTCACTGGCACTACACGACCTGGTAGTCAGCGTCAAACTGTCCTCACCATGACCGCTGAAGAACGTGCTGCTGTGGATCGTCTAAAAGCATTAGGGTTCCCAGAAGAGTTGGTTATTCAAGTAAGTTCTTGAAATTTCTGGGTTACGTCTAATACCGATAGTTTCCCCTTAAAACTTGACGTATTAGTTCTACTCAAAGTATTTAACTGCACACTTCGTTTATCTTAATGCAAAGTTTCAGATTTACTTCAAGTCCCTTTTTGTACGAAAAGAAGCACATATACTAGTCAAATTGTAGTTTAAGGCAGGCAGTTAGAGGTTCATGGTAACAACTAACCTCACTCAGCCTATCTTCCGACACAATACTTGAGACTCAACTTCTTTCAGTCCATGTGTGGTGATCTCAGCACCAAAAATCCGTGTGTTCACTTTATGATAATTGATTCCAGTGTCACGTAAGAACCAAAGACCCCAATCCATTTTTTCCGATTTTCACTTCTATAGATATTTCCTCTCTTGTCGGCAATCAAGAGGCAGCGATCACTCGTATTCTCGGAATCGGTGTTATCCCTCTTTATGTTTTTGATATTTTATCGCTTATCGTATAGTTTATATCATTTTCACTTATTTGGGGCCTAAATATTTACTTAAAAGACCGCAAACTAGTGATTAGATATCTGTCTAACGGACTGTTAGTGACTCGAACAACTAGTTTCAATTAGATGAAACTGGAGAAAGCGTTTGTCGAGAATCAATCATATCAGTATCTATGACGTTAGTTTCCAGTATTTTGTTAGCTCTTTGCAATAACAATAAAAGTGATATATCATAGATATAGAACCAGAAATCTGCTGTTAGGCACAATTTAGATGATGTTACAAAAATGTAAACATGTCAATCGTAGCTAGTGTGTATTGGGTTACCTAACCGAAGTAATGATTGATGCATATGTCATTTTCCAATATATCTTTCACAGAATTTTCATTGAGTCTCATGTTTCAAGTACTGGTTTTGCCTTAGTCCAGTTGTGGCTTACGATGATTGTGAATATTTCAAAGTTTTACTATATGTGCTGTACTCTTTCTGACGGTTGTCCCCACTAGATTTCCAATTATTTATGTGATTTATGCCACCCAGTAAAAACTACATTGGTGGTACTAAATTTATGTTGTGAGAAAAAGGTATTCACGAAACTACATTTGCTTTAAATTCACATGTCACATTTAGTCCCGGAAGTTACTTTAAGTACTACTCTGTCGTCGTTGAGGTAGACGAAAGAATGTCCGGTTCAACTAAGAATGAAAGACAAGGAGATTCGAGTGGGAGCTTCCGGTTTCACAACATTTTTTAAACATGCTTCTTGTTAACCTATCCATAATGCATTTTTGTGTTAAGCTGAATTTACTTGCTAGATTAGATGGTTTACCCTTTTCAGTGACTCATTGAAACCCCCAACTAGCATGAAACATCTATCATCCTATTATAAACTGATCGTTTCTTGGTGTCTTTTTACCCACTCAGCATCATCCTACAATACAGGCTATAATAGCTCTTACAACTGTTGATCGAAACTGATGTCCCAATGGAACAATGCTTGTATCATGTTTTTTTAAGATCAAACACTGCACATTGACTTCAATTTAATAGTATTGGTATAGAATGGGGCAGTTCAGTGATAACAATAGCTTGACACACGGAATCATCGAATATTTTTAACTCTGGGACCAATGCTCAAAAGCGTAAAGCAGAACTCCTCTGACATTTTTCATTGAAACCGTAATATTTTATTTAGTGAGGATGGTAAGCTATGTGCTTTAACTGTACTACTTCATACCTTGCTCCACTTCATAAAAAGCCAAATCACAATTTTCGTGAACTTGAGAATTTGCTGTTCGTATTTTTGTATCCGTAAAATTGTCTTTTAATAGGTCCTATGATTCACCGAAATAATATCAGTAAGCTTTTGTCGTGTGTGTTGGCGGGTCTATGAAGACGGGATCTTGCATCATTATAGTGTCTGATTTAATATATCGAGTGACCACTTCTGCCTGAATTTAAATACTAATCTATAACATGCAGTGGCTATTTGTACTATATGCTTTAACGATCTCAGCAAATGTCAGTCACTAACAACGTAAAATCTGTCGCAGGTGTGTTTTGGTGGAATTTATTACAATTTTCTTAAACACTGACAAAAACGTCAGTCACTCAAGGACAATAGGTTGTTCTTCATTAGCTGAGGAACAAAAGATAGTATTTATTTGTTTAGTTTAGTAATCAAGTTTGAAAAAGAAGCGTGGTACATTTTTCGTTGAATTTAGGATTTCATGGATTCACTTTACACAGCATGTGTGTAAATTCCATAATTGAATCATGTGGACGACTTTAAAATTGACTAATTATTTTTTATAAAAATCTTTTTTACAGAATATAGTGTAATTAGACTTTCACCTACTTTTTCGTTGTAGGCGTATTATGCATGCGAGAAAAATGAGGATGCAGCTGCGAATTTCCTGCTTAGTGAAAGTTTAGATGATGAAATGGTATAAAGTTTAATGTAAATCATCCTTTATAATTGTTATTACCTTTGTGATGATAGTTCTAGTTGGTGTCACTTACATACACACACATTTGTAACAAATCCACGTCCTTTTTCTCCTCTGCTTTACAGCCTTAAACTAATTATTTATTATTCCCTCATCAGTTTCCCGTGTTTATTTTCAGTAAATCGACATTATTGTAAGAAATGGTTAAAAAGAATATGCTAATGATTGTAACGGTAATACTATGTTTGAGCACATTCGTCAAATGCTAAATGTACTGAATGTGTCCTGTTTTATTTTCTGGTGATCATTATTTTGTTTGTCAACAAAGTATGAGCTTATATATTGTAAACTGTTGTTTATTCTTTTGATCCGACTGCATTCAACTGGTGATTAACTTTTATCTTTAAAACTCTAATTATATGGGATATAAAATTTCACATCAAAGCAAAGTACCTAGCGTTCTTCATTAAAGCAAATTGGTGAATTTCTTTGGATCGAAATTAGTTTGAAAAAATTAAGGCTACCAAGAACATTGAAAAAATATGCATATATCATTATGAATAATAAATAAATATTTTTCATACAGCTAGCCTACATGTTTGCATTTTACTGTTGTATCACTAATATACCAAAAGATACTTTATATTACAATTAATTCGGTTTTGCGCCTAACGACCGCGCTCTTCGTATACGAGTAAAATAATCAATTTGAAACCTCTCTAAACTTCGATACAGTTATAATGGCTGGTGACTTCAATGCTCAAGTAGGTAGACTCAGCGAAAAGGAAAGACACTTGAGTGGATCTTATGGTGTCGCGGCTGATAGAACAGATGGTGGCGACCGTCTGTTGCAATTGTGCTCACATAACCGCCTATTCCTAGCGAACACTAACTTTAAGCATAAGGAAAAACATCTTTTGACCTGACAAGCCCCGAGTCCGACCCAAATAGAGGATTTCGCTGTAAGCCATCGGTGGAGAGGCTCTGTTGAAGGCTGCTGCTCATTCTGGAGCACTTGTTTAGACTCATACCATGCTCTAGTGCGAGCGCGTATTTGTTTGCGCCTTACTGGAAGCAAGGAAACCTCTTAGGACTCTACTTAATGATAATAAAGCTAAGAATATATTTCAGAAACAACTAGAAAAACAGTTGGGCAGCCATGTAGTAAGCAATGCTCACCCTGAAGCAGCTTGGAATGATATCAAAAAGACTGTGGAAACAGCATTGACATCTAGTAAGGTAAACCATAAAGTCAGGGAGAAGCCGTGGATTTCAGTAGCATCTACCGAACTGACGGATGCTCGAAAGCTCATACCTCCTGGCTCTGAGTACGATGAGGAGCGGATTCAGCTCAGGCGCAGGCTGATAAAAAACCTACGCAACGACCGCGAACAGTGGTGGGTGGCGAAAGCAAGGGAGATAGAAAAGGCAACGGCGATTAGCAACAGTAAGCCACTATTCAGACTCATCAAACAAACTGGTATTAGGAACCTGAATGTGAGCGAAACCATCTCGGAAAAGGATGGTCTTATTATTCATTCTCGATCCAGGAGATTGGATAGATGGCTTGAACACTTTAGGGATCAGTTCAACTGGCCTTCAGCCACACTTTAGTTGCCCACGATCTCCAGTCAGTTTGAATGGGGAGCTGACATAAGTCCTCCGAAGTTGAGAAAGCTATAGGAAATCTAAGGCGAGGGAGAGATGCGGGTCCTGATAGATTGACCCATGAGGTATTTTAGGATGGTGGTCCAGTTTTAATAGCTAGATCGTGGGTAGAATCTGGGAACTAGGCGTTGGACCTGGAATATGCCGATTACATAGTTATATTTGGTGAAGACACTGACAAAATGCACTGTCTTCTGACTACCGTAAGTAATAATGCATGTTCGGAATGCGGTCCCGCACCCCGAAATGCAAAATGTTGCTTCAAGATTGGCTTGCGTTCGCACCTGAACTAGTGATAATAGGGAGTGAAGTAGTTGAGCGTATTGACCACTTCACTTATCTCGGGAGTCTCATCAGTGCTGATGGCCTTGTGATTGACGAAATCTCAGCACGGATACAGAAGGTTCGATTGGATTTTGACAACTTGCGTCACTTATGGAGAAAGCGAGATATCCGTTTGCTGACTTAAGGATTAGTGTACTGCGCAGCAGTTTGCTCCGTCCTACTTTATGGTTGTGAAACATGGTCAATCAGAGTAGAAGATATTCGTAGGTTACTGATTTTCGATCATAGGTGTCTCCGAAGCATTGCTCGAGTATCGCAAGACAGACGAGTAGGCAACGGGTGCTAGGTAATGGTGGCAGGTCAATAGATGAAGTAATTGAACTTCATCGGTTGAGGCGGTTGGGACATGTGTTACGTATGTCTAACCAGCGACTGCCTCGTCGAGCTATGTTTTGTGGTGTAGGACTAGGTTGGAAGAATGTTAGGGGTGGCCAGACCAAAACATGGCACAAATCCATGAAGTCACAGACAAGTGGACTGAGTCATGTCGGCAGGTGTCGACTACCCGGTTGGAGTCCGCGAGATGATATTAATCGATGGTTAGAGACCCTGAATGACATGTCTCAAAACCGTTTGCAATGGCGCAGGTGCATCCACTCTTTGTGTCCTATGAAATTCTAACCTTATGAATTGATCATCACCTCCATCTATCTCTTTCTAAATTTACCTCACTGAATTATACTTCTGGAATTACATCTTCAAATCCTAACCTCTCCGATTAATTTAACTACCTCTGCTACTATGGGATTTGAATCGACAATTATATCTCTGTGCTAATGTGGTATGACAAGTTGAACTGCTGTACTTATGTCCAAAGTTCTACGTTGCTGTTGATGATGATTTGTTTACAATCGTGTATAAAAGTGTAATCACAATGGGAAAAAATAAGAATGCTGAAATTGCTTATTTTTGTTGAGTGAAATATATACTGAATTACATCAGATTGTATGCAGGATATTGAGTCATATATCAACGGTTATGCTCTTTCTATCATATGAAGCAAGTAGACATGAGATTAAGTGCTTCAACTTCCTACGATCTTATATGCAAGTGTTTATATTTATGTATGTACGAAGCTCTCTTCCCTACAAGCCTATTTTGGAACTTCACCAGTTCCAGTGGGTTAGCATCTGATGAAATCTCAACAGAGATCAGAAAGCTCCTCTGACTTTTGCCAGCTAATGTCATTTGTAGTTCAGGCAAAATACCAGTCCACCATCTAAAGTACTTCTGCCTAAAGTCTGTGCTGATGGTTTTTGGAAGAACAAAGAGAGCCCCACAACCACCCATCCATGGGACGACTATGCCACTCACTAGTTCACTCTGAGACTTAAGTCAATCAGCAACAACATAGAACTGCGTACTTACGTACATCATTAATGCAAGTTGCCATACCACATTAGCACAGAGATGCACTTGTCAATTCGAATTCAATAGTGGTAGAGGCTGTAACAGTATGAGCGGTAATGGAGAAGATTAAGATATTATCCAGAAAATATAATCTGGTGAAATAAACTTAAAAAGAGAAGAAGGAAGGTGATGAGGAATTCAGAAGATTATAATTTGTGAGAAGACAAAGAATGGATGCACCTGCGTCATTGTAAATGACTTTGAGTGACGTCGTCCAAGGTCTCTAAGCATAGGTTACTGATGTCTCTCAGACCCCAACCTGGTAGTTTACACGTATTAACATGGCTCAGTTCAGTTGTCAGTGACTTTATAGACTTGTGTCATGTTTTGGTTTGACCGCCATTAGCTTTCTTCCAGCCTAAACCTACATCACAAAACATAGCTCGTCGAGGTTGTATATGCGTAGCACATGTCCCAACTACCTCAACTGATGAAGTTTAATTACTTCATCAATTTTTCTTTCATCCTTACCTAGTGCCCGTTTTCTAACGGCATTGCCTACTCAATGGTCGTAGGATATACAAGCAACGTTTAAAAGGCACCTATGGTCGAAACTCAGTAACTTACAAAAACCATCCACTCTTACTGGCTTATATTTGGCCAATGATAACAATGAAATACCTAGTGACAGTTCACTATAAGCTCTGACTTGGCTAGTAGTGTTCGAGCAGTGAACCTACACTAGTAATGTTCTTTGGTACACTTTTTAATGACAGACACTACCACAGAACCTCACAGCTAACAGTCAGAAACCGCCTCAGAGTAAATAATACAACTATAGTGGGTCCCCTCAATGTGTCTATGTTGCATGACCTGACTAAGAGATTACGATTTTGCGGGAGATGTCGATTTCCCGCTGCCAAAATACTTCTTGAGGAGCTCGGAAACGAAATTCTAATAACCGAGTTTATGGAAATCAGTAGAGCGAAGCAATTTCGACTATTTCCTAAAAACTTCGTTCAAATAACAGTGAGTTCATTTTTTTTCAATATAAGCCAGATAAGAATCCTATTTGCTTGTAGCCCCTCTGATATATGAAGTTTCAGCTTTCCTAACCGGAATATCAGGACATTCATCTTATGGAAAGGTACTAATGAACATTAGTTCATTATTATTCAATATGATAGCCAAATTTTAAGATACAAATTAATTTTACAGTAGTATTCACTGGTGCCTGATGTCGTTTTGATCTATCGACGATGACTGGATAGTTGGTTTACCTTAAAATCACACTAGTGCACATTTACCTGATGGTAAAAACTCATGATGAGAGTATTAAGTCCTGTTTCAAAGAAAGTATATTCTACTGTCACGAAAATTCAAATTCTTAAAATCCGTACAAATATCACACTAGTTTTCATGTAAAATCCGGTTGATTAGTTATAACAGTCCGAAGTTTACATTTCCTAAGAAAATGGTTTTTTGGTTACTTTAAAAATGATAATAGTCTTAAGTTAGGAGATGTATGGAGAAAGCCTAAGTAGGTCATTAACGATTGTATATACTCTATAATAAGAATTAGGCTCAATACGCATTGTGTGGTTACTAACATACCAACTGTTTGCATACTCAAAAGTATTTAGATAGCATGGTTGAACCGTTGAGCGGGTTTCATTTTACGAGACATACCGTATTTGCTATGGGAAAGTACACAAAATAGCAAGCGTCTATTCCCAAGGGATATTGTTGGTATTTTGAACAAAAGTGAATCAGGAAATATTATGCAATTAGTTTTTCTATAGTAACATTAATGATGAAGTCGAATCGATTTATTTGCACATTAAAAAGCCTAGTAGAATTTTTGACTACTTTACAATAGAAATTTGAAACCAAAACAAATCCAGATTTTACAATATAATATTGTTTTGTTGGTGAAGGATGGAGTTCTATTGTTATCGAGATCTAAAAAGGCTAGTAGTGTAATACTGTTAGGTTTTTGTTCAATTACAACAAGACAAAACGAAATATTAGTCTGACTAGCCTCGGTTGTCTTAGGGGGGGTTTCATTCTTTTCTTAGTACTTTATAGTGGATCTATGGTGGCCTTTGCCCATCCTTTTGATATGAACAATTCAGTGGCTAATTTTGGATAGGTTTTGTGCTGTGTTATATCTATTATACGTGTAAAAGCTTAACGCAGCAGTATGAAAGTTATAAATAATCTTATTCCCACCTTTTAGCGAATGTAATTAGAACATGAGTGCATTCTTCACAAACTGATAATTTATTGAATGCCTTGGAGTTGTTTGAAATTTGATT